CTAAATTTCAATTTTAAAATTAGCTCCTGAAGTAACCGTGCTGCTTCGAACTACTTGCAAACCATCATTAAACAAATATGCAGTAAGAGGCGGTGAAAGAGAAGACCTCCACTGAGGTCTAAAGTACTACTAAAGTATATCTGCAACACTTTTTTGTCTCGACATTAATCAACATGTGCTTGATATGTGTTCGCGTCTACACGGCTTTCTGCCTCCAACCAGTGAATCAGAGAAGGTTCAATGCTCTTTTTAGTAACAAAAACAGAGTAGACAACTCTCTACAAGAGCGATGTCAAACACGTAGCCCTCCAGAAGGTCCAGTTCAGCACCATGGATGGCTCTGCATTGTGTTCAGTCATTAATTATGTCATGTTTTTCAGTAAAACTGATATTTCTGTCATAGTGTTGGTGCCTGGATTACTATAAAGAAGTAACAAAGTATTTTTGGATCTAGACACATTATTTGAAACATAAAGACATAAAATGCTATTGTTCTATATTTACAAATCCACTATATGTGAAGATTTTCTGCCTGTATAGCTCCACTGTGTACATATCATAGTAAAAATGTATTGACAGTAAATGAATGTGTCAAAACCTGAGATCTATCATTTAAAGCTGCCTCTTTTTTTTCCCCCCATTGATGTTCCTGTACTTCTTTACAATGTTCTCAAAGAAATTTAGAGGGATATGTTCCCCCCCCCCATATAGGTTATTAAATTATAGCTTTAGCCCACTTGAGATCACACTGAGCTTTGTGTGTCCTATGATAACCCAGGACTTAATTCCAGGAAGTAGGTTTAACAAACAACTCTGAATTTGTTAACCATAAGTTAATGGAAAACCCACGTTTTCTGTTCTAGAGAGTTAACTTAAACTCTGAGTTAGTAACCAAGGTAACAGACTCTGCGAACTAAATCTGCTCACTGGCAGATTTTTGTCAACATAGTCTAAGTTTCTCTCTGACTCCTCCCCTCCTGCTGCACCCGAATCAGCTGACTGACCCTCCGATTCATTTTCTCATTCGTAACGTTCTTTAAAATATTTAACTTATCGCTTTTACAATACTTCAGTTGTCAATCTATATGGACAGAGAAAGCAATTACATAGCAGATTTATGATCAGCTCAGAATAAATTGCCTCCATGTTTCTAAGTATGTGACTCTGTGGACAGTACTGCAGCTGTCAGCCAGTTTCCCTCCACTGTAAATATTTTTGGACTGTAACAATCACTCTTTAAAAACAACCTTATCTGTCAAAGCTTTAGAATAACTTACTGGTTAAGGATTATTTATTTGTTGTGCTGTTTTTGGTCACACGGATGAAAAAAAATGTTTGTCATACTCAAAGATGATTGATCTGTGATTAGCCTTTCTGAAAGTTCTCAAAGGTTCTCAAGTCTATTCTTAAAAAGTTTTTTGAACATGCTTCCTGTAATACGACCCTGCTCTACAGTGCATAAGGAGGGAAACAAACAAAACACAGGAAGTCCTAAAAACAGTGGTTCCTTTAATGGGCACATCCAGCTGGCTCCAGAAGAGCGTCCCAAAAGACTCCCACATTAACATGTCCAACTGTACAGCATTAAAAACCATGCTTACTGCGAGGTATAAAGCCTGTTTTGGCCTCTACTGACAGTTTCCCACCTAAACACAAAACCATAGTGTTTTTTTTTCTCTTTTAAACATGTCCAACTGAATGCTGGAGTTAAAGGTGTAGCCACTTTAAATGACAGGTGTCCCAACACAGGAAACTGAAGCTGGCTGCTGTCTGGCAGGCTTTGGGTCAACAAACTGAACCTCTTTGAGTGTTTGTGCAAACTGTCCAGAAAGTTTCTGCTTCTCTGTGCGTGAAATTGTAGAGTTTTGTTAGTCTGGCGGCAGCAGATTTGCAAGTCTGTGGTACAGTTAATAGATGCAGATTGCTAACCAAGCCCGCTAGCTAGAGGATACCGCAACATGCCACTATCTCTCCCAAATATGGTCACATGTGGCTTCAAAAGATTAACACAGCTTAATGCTGAGCCTTCAAAAAGACTCCAAACCAGTGTGCAACGTCTTTTACATACAGTCTTTGGTTTTAACTTTAAGTACACTGACACTTGAACGCAACTATTCCTACCTGTTGTGACTTGGTTAACTTCTAATCAGCATTTCAATAACTCACCGCCCTGCCTCTGTTTTAGTAAAAACTAACAAATGCAAACACACATTTTCAAAATCAGCAGTGACACACAAATGGTTTCACGTTAGTTGTGTCATACTTTCATGTGAAACCGTCCGTTCCTGTCATTCCGGGGAAACATGGTGTGTCAAACCCACCTCTTACCTTCCACGAAAAATAAATGGGAGGGGTGTAAGGCTTACGGCAAATTCAATTTTTCGGCACACGGCGACTACGATTAACTTTAGAGGGAGAACATGAGAAAATCCAAGAGGATTAATTGCATTCATATGCACTTGTCCCAACAGGCAGAGCAACAAAGGGCTTGCCGAGGCGTGCTTTCAGCCGCTACTCTAACATTAGATGTAAACGACCGTTGGAAGCTAACGCCGACACTGGAAATGTCATTATTAGCAGTGCTGTTTGTTCCTGTTTAAACGCTTTGACTCATCTAGGATCGCATACAAAAAAACAGTAAATATTACAGCATTAGTACACCTTATACTGAGCTATTAGGTGCTTTCATATTAAAAGCGTATTAATAATGACCGTTGACCCCCGACCCTAAGTTAAGTTTTAGCGATTGCAGCGTCACAAAAACAAATAAAAGAGCTGTAGAGTGCTATTCCACTCACCTCCAGGAAGAAATGCCTAGATTATAATTCATTAGCAGAGAGAATATATCCGAAATGCAACGATACTGTGGGTTAGTGTCCAACAGCGTGTCACTACTTCCCTCTTTCTGCTTCCAACATCCTTGAAGAAACCAGGGGCGGAGCTAGGACCCCCCGACACGGGCCTGAAAGAACAGGAGCCCGAGAAGCAGGGGCGGTGTCAGTATATGTGTTCTTGTCAAAGTCTCCACATACACAAAAACTAACCGAAATAATACTGGCTCCTTAAAAATGGAAATTAGTTTTACTCCTTGTAACTTTGGTCAATGTACCAATTCTTTTGCATGTGTTTCTTGAGGCTGGGATGTTATGAAGTTCAGCCTGTGTCATAGTTTCTTTTCTGAACTTCTTAAATTTTGAAACATAGTCACATAGAGATGGAGAGGACATGCTAACTCCACACAGAAAAAAGCCCCAGTCAGATGGTGGATGTGAATTCATGACCTTCTTGTAGTGAGGCAACTATCTATGTAGCTGTCCCTAATGAAATGACAGCTTAAATAAGAGTTTTGATATTTACTGGTATAGAAAAAGGTATTCCCTCCTACAAAAAAGAAAAAATAGCTTCCATTTATGCTTATTGTATTTACTTTACAAGGGAGTTGGGATGATGTCATTCAAATCAAATACATTTTTCTTATTCTTCACATGATTACTGCCAAACCATTAAACGTCACACTTTGTGTGTGTGCATATTTAATGTTTGTCCCATACAAACATACCTTTTAGCTTACATTTAGAGCTTGTTGTGATACAATCACCATTTGGTGGCAGAGGGTGACAAAGATCATTTACTTGATCAGAAATAAATATAGTGGTGCTCACATGCAGCCATGAATATCATAGTGTTTTGAAACCTGATGTGAGTAGCAAGGTTTAAATCAACTGAATTCTCAATAATCCTCCTAACTCTTAGACTGACCATTATTTACAAAATGAACTTCAAGGTTAATTTACCTACATTGACCCCTGCTGGCCATTAAAAGAATACAGGTTTAATGTATTTCTGAATTAGCTTCACTTTTTATAACCAGAAAATACATCCATCTCTTACATGTGCATCATAATAATGGATGTTATAATATAGCTTATTATATAAATAGACATAAATCTATTTATCATAAAGTAAAAAATAATAAATAACTAAAGCTTTGAAATAAATCTTTTGGAGTGCAATAGCACCCTAACCGTAGCCAAAATACCAAATAAGAAATACATAATAGTGGATACATAACAGTGGGCTACAAGCAGAATTTAGAAACACTTATAAAACGTTTAGTACATTAAAACTGTACTTCAGTAAAGTACTCAGAATAGAGTAATTGTAAAATTACATTATTACTGCAGCTGTCCATTGCCCCCTCACCACACTCATATGCATAGAAGTCATTTACTCCAACTCCTACACAAATATGTGATTTTAATAGCAATGTGTGTACATTACTTTGTACCCATTCAAAAAATCAGTCTTAAGGAGTAGTGAACTACATTTTGCAGTAGTTGCTTTGTATTTGGACCAAAGTCATATTTGCATAGTAATTCAACAAGTTCAAAGACGAGTTTACTACTGAAATATTTCTCATTACTATGTAATTTGTTAACCATTAACAGATCAAGCTGTTGCCAATTTCAAAGTAGTAAGGAGTAATTCTGCAGCTGACGCACCTACATTTCTGGATGTGTCTGATCAGTTTTATTTTATTATTTTGCAATTATGTTATATTTTCGTTCATGTAAACTGTAAATGTTTTTCCATGTAGGTTTGCAGTACTTCAGGTACTCGTGTAACATTGCCTACTATATAGCTCGAAAAACATTCCTTTCAACACTTAGGGAAAAATAATATATAGAAACCAAAAGATCAGTGAAGAATACAGAATTTTTTGCCTCTAAAGCAAAGTTAAGCTTCTTATTCTCCCAAAATATTTCTGCAAATATTAATTTAAAGGAACTCCAGGATTTTAGTGTCCAAACAGTTGGAAGTAAAAATAAGATACTGTTGGTCAAAGCCAGAAAATTCTGAACTGTATACATGTCACTCATTAATTTATTTCTCCAGATTTTGGTGGACTTTTTTGGTGGGTTTAAAAAAAAAACCCCCAAACAAAACAAAAAACCACACACACAAAAAACAACAACAACAACCAAACCCACACACAATGGTGATATTTCAGGTCATGTTTTTATTTTCCAACCATAAAAACTGTTCTTACTCATTGAAACATGTTTTTATTTTAGCTTTTAAAAAAGAAAAAAAACAAACCTCAAACAGCTTACTCTTACATAGTGATCATTGTGACCGTTTAACAAATCAAAATAGTTTTGTGAAAAAAAACAACACAAATGAAATGCAATTACTTGTGAGAATATTCTGAATTAAGAGTCAAGAAGAAGAAAATAAAACTCCTCCCCACCCACAATGACTGCACAAATTAGAAGACCAGTGTTACGAACAACTTTGTCATCAGAACTTACAGCAGACCCAAACCATTAAATACAGGATCGAAACAGAAGGAGTCATGTGATAACATTCTGAATTAATGGTCAGGCACATAATTATTATACAAAATCATCATCATCTACAGCGAGGTTTTAGATTTAAGCTCAACAAGTCATTTACCAAAAACAAAAAAAAAGTAAAAAAAAAAAAAAAAAAGTAATTTTACTGCTTTGCAGCATCACTTAAACAATTGCACTCTGAGATAAAAGGAAAATTTTAGTAAACAAATTCATTTATATTTCTTAGATTGAAATATGTTAGAATAAATGAAAAAACAAAAAATCCATCCAGACCTTAACATAATCATGCTGAGCATTTACAGATACAGAGCCGATACTGTCAGAAACGGAAGCTTTGAGAATCCTAGCGTGCTGAACTTGATCTTCTCTCAGCCCCAAATTTTTTCCACCGTCTCAAATGTGCACACCGCCTCTCAGCTGTCCAGTGAGCTCAGCTCCTATTTATGGAGCACCAATACGGCAGACTTGCCATGTGACATAATGTTGGTCATTGTGTGGGAACAGATGCGGAATAAGACATAAGAGAAGAGGCAGACAGATTCACCTTTTTGACTGAAATAAGACAACTGGAGGATTTAGGCAGTTAAAGGCTTGTGGGGACTACAGCTGGTGACCTGGGTTTACAGACGACTGCAGCAGATGCTGTTAAAAAACGGCCACATTTCTGGGGTACAGATGCTGAACATTTGATACTAAAACAAAAATCACAGATTTCAAGTGAGCCATCAGTTAGCAGTGACTTTTACGATCATTTTATTACAATAAGTGACTGAAGAAGCTCTCTTTATGAAAAAGTTTTTAAATCGAAAATTGTATCTGAAACAAACGGAAGTCTGCCATGTTATTGGTTGAATCTTGGTTGAATCACTGATGTGAAACTACTCCTTAAGCAGTACCATGATTGAGAAATGTTATGGACAAACAAAAGCCTCTTCAAATAATTAAGAACAACAGTTTGTCACCCTGATTTTACCATTAGCCGATTGCCCACATTATGTAACAATCAGACATTCTGTACTTGCTAGAAGAGAGAGGGAGAAGAAAAAAGGAAATTTCAGGCATGCAGCAAAGAAATTGAGGGAAAAAAAAAAACAAAAAAACAAAAACAAAAAACTGACCACAAATAATACTTTGCAGTAGATGTTCTGTTCAAAAGGCAGGTCAGTCTAAAATTGTAAATGTGTGATTGTTAGTGTTAAAGCTATTCTTCAGGTCTCTCAGTGGGCTCACTTTATCAATTTTCAGTCTTGGTTGCATTTCCATTTCCCTTCATAAGACACATCTACTCACTTTAAATTCCCTTCTCTCACTCTCTACTATCTTATAGGGTTAGTTCGCCATCTACCATGGCCTTAAGAGGGCTAATATTTGAAATATACCAGCTGGTAGCTAGTAAAAAGCATCATGGGGTAGATTAGTACTGTTGAGCCTGCAGAGTCAAAGGGTCCGGCCAGGAGGTGAAGTTCATGGATCAGTTCACAGTTTGGACCGCAGAGGCTTCAGGTACTTGTGGAAAGATTCGTGTACCTGTAGGGAGGAAAAAAAAAAGTTGCTGAAATAATGCACTGCACACAATGATCACACAAACAGGTTTAGTGTGAGGTTGGATTTGCCAACAGCTTCATTTTCATATAAAACACACTCGAGTTCCACGCTGCTGATAAATACAAAGAGCAGCTTATCATTAACACTGTGACCATACAACCTCGTGGGCTCGACTGACCTCTGTAGCATTGAGGGGGGATTTGCGAGCCCACTCGAACATGTGCTCATAAACATTCCCATCGTATCGTCCCAGGACCGAATTCAGCTTCTTGTCGTGGATGTCAAAGGCATCCGCCAGGGCCACAGCGTTGGGCCTCAGCTGAGCCAGCAGCTCCTTGATTCGACTAGAAATCTGCATCACCTGAGGCACACTCAGCAGTCCAGCCTAGAAAAAGAATTTGAGAAAAAAAACAAAAATACAAAAAACAAAACCAAACCCACAACACCAGCAGCTGTAGAAATTTGGAGCTTAGATCAGACCAAGCTGAGCAGTAGAAAGAGCCTTGAAACACCACTGTTGTGCTTATCTGCTGACCACACACACGATGATTTTGCTTACCTGTAGGAAGTCTCCAGAGTTCTTTGTGATGCCATACAGGGTGTAGAGCAGAGCCAGGGTTGACAGCACTGAGTGTACTGCAGTATCAGCAACCTCCCCAAGCTTGTCAGTAAAGAGTTTCACTACAACATAGTGACAGTGGGCCTGAACACAAGAGAGAGAGAAAAAAAA